CAAAACTGCCAATTGCCAAAAGTCATTTATTGAATCAGTCACTTGTTTGGTGAAACTTTAAACCTGTCACTTAGTTAGACACAACTTGCAGATCTCAGTCATCCTTTTTGCAAAACTCGAAAATATGCAGTGCAGTATATGCAATTAAAATGCACCATTATCATCAAAATGTTGTATGATCTTCATATAACCATTAAAAAGAATCAGCCTGGTCACCACATTCTGTTATACACATCAACATTATGGGAAAATTGATAAACTTATGTTAGTTACCCAGGGTTTTGGTCCCTGCAAGCTCCCAATCACACCTGTACCAGGTATTTGGTGTTTGTGACTGATTGGGAGCTGAGAGGGATTAAAATACGGACTGTGTGGGGGTCCCAGAAAGCCGAGAACGGGACCATGCTTTCAGTTATTTTTTTAATGCCGTTAAAAATGTCAATAATTAACTTATTTCCTCTAGATAATGAGATCATTTTCTGTGAACAATTACAAGAATAAACATATAGTGACGCTTTGGGCCATCAAGCGTGGCGCTGTTCGTATGTAACTATTACTTAATGTGTGCATCTGTGTATTCAACGTTAAGGTATTAAGTGTCGTACATACGTAGTATTTTACCGTGATGAGCGTGTCATGTCCTGTCTCTAAGTTACACCAGGATCCTGGGAAATGCCAAATCATATCACCATACAGAATAAGTGTAGATGATATGTGTCAGGGTCGGTGCCCGTCCATCCCTGTCCTATGTGTTCGGCTAGCCATCCTGTTCCCTCTGTCTTTGTACTAGTCCTTAGTGATATTTCCTTATTCTCTGGGTTGCCACATAGCCCAGTGGGTGGAGCGTGTGGCACCAAGGCTATAACCCTGCAGTCATGGGCTTGAGGCCTGCCTCACTTGTTTTGTTTATTGGGTTTCTGTTTTTTTCCCTAGTATTTTAGTTTTGTTTATGCTATTTGTATCTTGTTTAATTCTGTCCTGCTTGTGTTTGTGTTCTTAGTGCTTCCTAGTGTTAGCCATCAGCTGAGTGTCAGTATTGCTATAGTGCTTATTTCCTGGTATGTTGTTAATGTTTCCTAGTTCTGGTATTTGTTAAAGTTCCCTAGTGTCTGTCCTTAATTGTTTAAGTTTCTCCACATGTGGCCTGTTTCCCTGCACTGTGCTCATTGGTCAATTGTCATTCTCACCTTCCTTTTGTTAGTCCTCATTATTTGTGTATTTAAATGCCTGCCTTTGTTAATTTCCCCAGTCAGTCATTGTGTCATGTTACTATGTTATGTAATTCTGCTTAATTCCCACGTCCTACTCCCTTTGCTGCTCAGTTTGTGGATTTCCCCAGTTTTCAGTTCCTTTTAAATAAACCCTTTTATCTTAGCGCCTTTCTTGGGGAAGATGGTGGCGCAGGAGGTAGTGCTATTATTCGGCAACTAGAAGATTGCCGGTTTGAGCCCTGGTTCTTTCTGACCCCATCAAAGTGTCCTTGAGCAAGACACTGAACCCCAAATAGCTCCCGGTGTGCAGGTTGGCACCTCACATGGCAGCCTCTGCCACCAGTGTGTGATTGTGAATGTGTATGGGTGAATGTGAGGCATAAATTGTAAAGTGCTTTGGGTACTCATAAGAGTATAAAAAAGCGCTACATACAGTAAATGCAGTCCGTGGACCATTTTGGAGCCGCCAGTGGATCATCACCATTATTTTTCTGTTTGTGCCATGCTGCGGCATTCAATATAAACAAACATTCACATCCACACTCAAATCTAAACATATTGTCGGAATCCTTGTGGGTAATTCCACTAGCAAAATGTGTTATGCTTGATGCTGTTCCATTTACACAACAGTAGACATACAGAGCAACCCTTAGACCTCAATGTAAACTTAACTGTATATAAGCTGAAAGTCCTTTTAAAGCACGAAGCTTACTCGTTTTCTCGAGATAATGGGATTATTTAGCAGTGTCATAATTATCATNTGCGGCATTCAATATAAACAAACATTCACATCCACACTCAAATCTAAACATATTGTCGGAATCCTTGTGGGTAATTCCACTAGCAAAATGTGTTATGCTTGATGTTGTTCCATTTACACAACAGTAGACATACAGAGCAACCCTTAGACCTCAATGTAAACTTAACTGTATATAAGCTGAAAGTCCTTTTAAAGCACGAAGCTTACTCGTTTTCTCGAGATAATGGGATTATTTAGCAGTGTCATAATTATCATTTCTTAAGAAAATGGCATTTTAAAAAAACTGCAAGCACAGCCGTTCTCGTGTCCCCCAGGACCGGTTTGAGAAACACTCGGTGTTTGGCAGCCGCACTAAATAATCTAGCTCCTCCACAGCACCTGTAATATTAAATCACTGGTGCCACCACTCAGTGTAAGTGTGTTACACATGCTTGTTTTATTATAAGTTATCTGTTAACTATGTTCTTACCTTGAGAGGAAAAATGTCTTTATGTTTTTCCAGAATCTTAATTGTTCGTGTGTCTTGACGAAATGGAGACGCCAACTTTAAAACACTTCCACTTTTTACATACAGAGAATTATCAGTTTCGCATCAAACGCGGAAGTGGTCTAAGCAGAAATGGTCACTGACTCAGTGGCACGGCGTAGGATTTTCTGGGATGTTATGTGAATTAATAACAATTAACAATAAGAGAAAGGGGACAAGATCCCGCCACCACCTAATTCTGCCATAATGCGCTAATTCTGCATTATACCTGTGCGTATCAAACGCGGTACTGCAGTGACACTTAAATCATTGTCATACGTAAACAGGGTTCTTAAGTGTCACGCATTGACCGTGAGACACGCATTTCAGCCAGTCCACACGCTCACACGCCACACCATGTGTGTCTCACGCTGGCAAGCAAGTGATAACGCCCTCGAAGGTGTCCCGTTATATAGAATTAATGGACGGATCGCAGTCATAAGGAATGGAGTTTTCACCCGAATTCATAAATGTCCCGACATTCAGTGGATACAATTATGACATACAGTGGATTCAGAAAGTATTCAGACCCCTTTGCTTTTCACACACTTTACTGTGCTGTAGATAGAATTTTGAATGGATATAATTGTCATTTTACCCCTTACTCTATACTCAGTAACATATATTGGCAAAAAGTCAAAAATTTTGTAGAGATTTTTGAAAATGTATTAAAAATCAAAAGCTGAAATCCCTTATTCATGAAAGTACCCAGACTAATACTTCACAGAAACCCTTTTGACAGCAAAGACAGCTGCAAGTTTTCTGTACAAGCTTTGCACATCTGGATTTAGGCAGTGTGTCCCATTCTTCATAGCAGACTCTGTCCAGCTCCGTCAGAGTGGATGGTGAGTGTCTGTGAACTGCATTTGGCTGCATTAATGTTTCCCTTAATTATTAGCAGTCTCCCTGTCCCTGCTGCTGAGAAGCCGCCCCATGGCATGATGTTGCCACCCCATGTCTCACTGTAGGGATGGTATTACCCCAGTGAAGTGCAGTGCCTGTTGTTTGCCAGACAAACTGCTTGCTGTTCTGCCCAAAGAGCTCAATTTTCATCTCATCAAACGAGAGAATCTTCTTCCATTTTTTGTCAGTCTTTTAAGTGCCATGTAGCAAACTCCCAGTGGGCTCTCTTTTGCAGCTTTTTAGAGCAAGGGTCACCAACATAGTGCCCGCGGGCAC